CGTCAAGGTAAGAGCAAATATACCAAACAACTCCTGTTCTTTTCTCTCGCACTCTCCCTCAGTTTCTGTGTTTCTTATTTTGCGCTATGCTTTTTTAACTATAATTTGTCTAGCCAGTGAACGAAGTAAACAAACAATTGGAAAAACCCTAACCAACAAAATAATGCGCAAGCAACGCCAACCGTTTCGCCAGAAAAGGCAAAAAGGTTGACGAGCAAAAAGAGAAAATCGAAAAGATAAAAGGGAATCTGGTTAAAACTCACCAGAAACATGAAATCAAGGCAGAAATTGCATCAAAATGACGATCCACTGGAGGCGCTGAAATAAACTGATTTCCTCTATTATTTGTTCCCCGGAAAAAAACGAACCTCGTGAATCAAATAAGCGCAAGAAACATGTTGTGTGAGTTGCAAGAACCCTACAATTAGGGTTAGGGTGGGTTCTCTGAAAGTTTTCCTTCGAAACCCTAGAGAGAGGAAGTATATAGTTTCTGAAACAGAAGAGGAAATAGTGATAAGAAGAAAACAAATTGTCGGGAAAGAGAGTTTGAAGCAATCAATTTTAATTAATTAATTAATGACTAACAACAAATCACAGTACTTTAATTAAGTGATTAATTTTAGTAAACAAACATTGTGGGCTTGTGGCGAAGTCTTCTTTTTCCTCATCTCCTCATAATCACTCCATTCAATTTGGTTTTTACTGGGCTTTTAAGTTTTTATTTAACCCACCCATATTTTCAGGAAATAAAATATTACAATTGCAATTATAATATAATAATATTAATATAACTATGATTAAAATATCAAATAACTCGTTTCGGCTCGTTAGAAATTTAAGTCGAATCCATTCAATTCAAGTAATAATCAAGCACCAAGTCGAACTTCAATAGCTTACAATCTATCTCATCTCATTTACAGTTCTAGTTTAATTTAAAATTAGGGTGTAAAATACCTAACCTAAGAAAATAATATAATTATACATGATAATAATTATCTCTTTGTATTTTTTTCAATTTATTTAATTAAATAAAATTTATATAAATAAATATATTGATGTGACATGTTTATATGAATTAGAGTGATGACGTGATAACTTGCGACCAAGCCAAGAAACCAACAATTTTGCACCAATGGAGTTTTGAAAATAAAAAATGACTGAAATAGAGTAGGAGAAAATGGCCAGAGTATACGATGTCTTCAAGCTCCGGCCGAACCACCATGGCTAGTCTCTTTCTCTTCTCATTCACTGCGGCTCTCTTCTCCTCCACTGCTGCAAATTCAAATTTAAAGGTTCAACTTTAAAGGCGTCATGTACTCCGATTGTCTTCCAAAAAAACACCATGTACTCTATTCCCCATTTCAACCATTCTTTATTTTTAAAACTCTATCGGAGTAAAATTGTCCCAAGAGACCTTATTTATTTTATTTTCAGAATATATTCAATACGACTTTACTCTAAATACTCGAACAAATCTTTCTTGTCCAACACATCATCGTTTCTGTCACGACAACTAATTCTTCAACTTTTGTCCTATCAGCAGTGACACCGTTGAATGATGGTATTGCAAATAATGAATTGAAATTCTAGGATTTCTTTCTTCGCCGATGTTTTAGAGGCTTTATTTTTTTATTGTTTCTTATTTTTAGGGATCCATGTCTTGATTAAAGGCAACAAATTCTAACCTAAAACAGAACTTGTGCAAGCGTTAATTTCATATTTCAACATTAAGCTTCAAAAGGAATTTTTTAGGATGGTTTCATAGGGGATTAAGAGAACAGAAAAGGGGCATGCACGGGAGCGCTAAGGCACAATTTTGCAGACCATAGTGAAGGGGCAGTCAAGGCGAGGCTTCCAGGGTTTCCTAACTGGTGTCAAGAGTTCGACAACATGTCGCACCGAGTGCCAATTGAAACAACTCATCTTTTCCAGTTTATCAATCCACAACAAAAACAACCCAAATCAGAACTCTAATAAAATCTAAATATTCTTGAAACATATATTCATTACTTTTTTATTTTTTATTTGTTAATTTGTGACTTTTCTTGTTCTGAGTTGACGGTAGAAATGGAAAATAAATTGAAACCGTCATTTGAGTCGTTCTTGAATCGCTCATTTACTATACACGCGATTACAACTGAATCAAAAACCCTCGAACTTCTTCTCAACATCCCATCCTCTATTAATCGAGCAGAAGACTGAGTTTGCCTCAGGTTTTAATCAAGGGAAAGAATATCGATGATATTAATGTGATTAAAAGCATTGTCCGGTTTTGCGTTTGCCTCTAATCAATTGGAAGCAGTCTAATTCTAATCATTCACCTTGTCCGGTTGTGGCGTTCACTACCGCTTCTTGTCAATGGGATGTTAATCGAATAAGGTATTTGTTGCTGGAGGATTGCGTTCAACACATTCTAGCTATGATTCCATCGATGGATCATCTTGGCGAAGATCAACCAGGTTGGAAGTGGGAGTCTAAACGAACTTTTTCGATCAAATCTGCTTATAGAGCACTTACAGGTGAACATTCAAATCCTAGAAATGGTATGTGGAAGATGGTATGTTCTAAACGTTCCACAACGTATCTGAGTCTTTATGTGGCTTGCTGTGAGAGGTAATCTCTTAACCAATACTTACTGAGAGGGTACGGCGCCATATGAGTCTTGATAATAGATGCGGTACATGTAAGTGCGCGCCTGAAGATGTATTGCATGTTTTACCAGATTGTTCTAAAGCTCGGAATTGTTGACAAACCTTAATTCAACATAAATAGGTTTGACGATTTCAACTCGCTGTCTATGGAGGATTGGTTTCACACAAATATGAGACAACAAAGCTGCTTTGCGGATCAGCAAATTAATTGGCCAATGCTATTCTCTGTCATTTGTTGGATGCTAAGGAATAAGAGAACTAAACTTCTTTTTGATCCTGATTTTATTGAAAAAGAAGATATTGTTAACATAGGTAAGCACTAAGCATTACATGGAAGAGATGCATGGTGTATTAAGGATACGTGGATGACCAACTGCTGATGGAATTGTAATTCGATCATGATGGTAAATGGCTCTTTGGATCTTCTCATAATCTAAGGAAGTGTTCGGTTCTAAATACAGAGTTATGGGCGATCTGCGATGCTCTCCGACATGCATGGAGGATTGGATTTAGACTAGTGGAACTGGAAGCTGATAATCTTGAAGCTACTAGATGCCTTCTTAATACTAATTCAAATAGCCAAGATAATGCCCTCATCGTTGTGATAAAGGATCTCATGAAGCGAGAATGAGAAGTTCGTATGAGACATGTTCGACATGATCTTAATGGAGTAGCCGATCATTTAGCTGCTTTGGCTCGAGATGCATCCATGCGTGAGGCCTCTTTACCGAACCACCGTCACAAGTGGTAGAATAACTGCATGCAGATAAGCAACTCAGTGCTGGAAACGAGTTATAGTTTTTAAATATTCTGTTTTAAAAAAAGCATGTTTGAACTCAGAATATGGGGTTTAGGATAGCTAAAGTTTAGAAAAATAAATTTTATTATAGAAGTATATCATATTCATTGATTGGCCTAATAATTGGTTGTTTAGCTAGTTTGTTTGCAGACCCAGGTTTGAGCCTATTTACAAGTGTTCTAAATTTTTTATTCTTTTCCACTAATCAAAGCCTCCTCCGCTTCAGCTGGTCATCTTTTAGTTTTCGTTTTCGTCTCTATTTATTTACTTGGTGTTCTTCACAGAGACATATACAATCTCCCCATGACCGATTAGTATCCTTTTAATGTAATGATTTTTGCCTCATCTCATATTCCAAAAAAAAAATTGATTAATTTTGATTAAATTAATCAAAAAATAATTAAATATGTTTATTTTAATAAATAATTTATTGTTGGTGTGGCAACTCAATTACAAGGGAATATCGAAATGAACATATCATGTCAACATTTCCATCCATATGGATGTGCATAGTCAGCATGATGCGTTGATCATTTATTGATTAACGGTTTTCATCTATCGAGAGACTCTTTTACTCAAAATAAATTGTTAAGGGTTAATGTGCTCCGAAAAAAGAATAAGAACACAAATACCTATTTTATAAAACATTATAATTTTTTTATCATAATGTCAATATTTAAATTAATCAAAGATTTGTCCCGGCTGCTATCTTCGCTGCATAGGGCTCGGTGAGGTCTTGATTACAGGCTCTTAGCTCTCTCATACCGGTTTCATCGTTCACCCTTCTTTTAGTATTACTAAACATATGGCATCGAGGTAATGTTCTGCTTCATGAAGGTCGGTTGCTCCTCGGGTGGCACCTTGTTACTTCTAGTTGGACACTTCTTATTGTTTATTCAACATCATAAGGCCACTCTCTTTCCTCGACTACGCTGCTTGGTGCTTGGCCACATTGGTGTAAACCTCAACCACATTCCATCACCATTAATGTCGATGGAGCTTGCCTGCTCTCTCTCGGTAATCCAGCAATTGGCATCGTTGCTCAAGACCATCAGGGTATCTTACCATCTTTGGAAGGCTCGTCATCTTTTTTCTCTTTACCGTCATATTGGGGTTTATCACGTACGCTATTCTACTAACAAGACTGTCCATGACTTGGCAAACTACGCTTTGACTCTTGAAACACCAATTTATTATGTTAATTAATCTTCGTCTTATATTTCGGATATCATTCATGGTTAATGCAGTCGAATTACGTTTTCTCTATAAAAAAAAATAATCAAAGGTTTTGCAACAAAAACTAGAGAAAATCCCTATTAAAATTGGATGAGAAGAGACAAAAATGTTACGTGCGACATCTAAATGTCAACACTCGGCACCATTGCGAGAATTGGCATCTTCTTCACACCAAATGGCAACCCAACCCAACCCAACCCAACCCAACATCCACTCCCGCTAACCAACTTTGTCATCTTCATTTTCTCTTTCTCACTTCTCATTGGCCACTTGTTATTTTCCCAAATAAAATGAACAACTTTGTTCTGGCCGCGCCCACAATGTCCATCTCACCACTCACAACACTGCAGCTCAGTCCCTCCCTTTTTCTCAATGCCTTCACTCTGCTGATTCTCTGTTACATATATACAAAGAAGTTCGCACCGTTCTACTATTTATTTCACGCAGTTTCTCTTCGCTTTTGCTTTTTTTTGGGGGATATGTAAAAGCAAAAGATTGCCTCAAAACAAAACACTTCTCTAGTAGAAGCTCTCTGTTTCTATTCTCCCTTCATTGATTTAAAGTATTTTCCAGTTTTAATCTTTCATTCTATGGTTTGGGTTTCTGTAGTTTAATCTGTATATCGATTTTCTTGTTTTATTTTTATTGCTATTGTGTATGATTTTGGATCTAATATGGGCGCCTAGGGCTTTTCATCTGTAAACCAAGATCTGCCTTGTTTTAGCTACTGTTTCTTGAATTTTCCCGGGGTTTTGGGAAGGCGCTTTTTTTTTTTTTTGCATTCCCCGGTTAAATCGTAATTGAAGATAAATGCTTTCTTGATTTGATACTTCTTCTTTGGTTCTCTTTGAGCATTTCAACCAAAGTCCAGTTTTTTTTTTTTTCCTTTGGTGCGGAAATTTGGCGGTTAAGAAAAGAAAAGATGATGATGAACCGGGGACTTGAAGTTCTCTCTCCAGCCTCTTACTCACAGGCTTCAAATTGGTTGTTTGAAGATAGCGAAGGTACAAAATGGAGTCCTGAAGAGAACAAGTGTTTCGAAAATGCTCTGGCTTTATATGATAAAGACACTCCTGACCGATGGTTTAAGGTGGCAGCTATGGTTCCTGGAAAAACAGTTGGAGATGTCATCCAACAGTACAGAGAATTGGTGGAGGATGTAAGTGATATAGAGGCCGGGTTGATCCCAATTCCTGGCTATACCACTGATTCTCTTACATTGGATTGGGTTAATGATAGTGAGGGCTTTGATGACTATTACACTCCTGGTGGAAAAAGAGGGCCAGCCACTCGACCTTCTGAGCATGAAAGGAAGAAAGGGGTGCCATGGACTGAAGAAGAACACAGGTAATTTGCTTGGCCTTTTTATCATCTTTCACATTTTTATATTCATTTATTGTAATATTTCTAGAGTTAAACCTGTATTATGCTTTCCTGTTGAAGATTGATCATCCGGATGTTGAAGACCATTGTCCATTTAGTTAACTGGGGGATTTAAAGAAGTTTGTTTTAATTTTTTTAGAGATAAATATTTTGAAGAAAATGGGAGGAATGAGCTGCCATGATTGATCCATTCCCTGCATTTGTTATGAATATTGACAACGTGGTTGGTAGATATTAATAGACATGTTTGGTTTGTGGATGCCTCTTTTCTTGCCTGTGCAATTTCTCTACTTTGAATTGTTTAGCATCCTCTAGCAGCTCAGCTCATGATGTTTATATGATGATTAATGACAGACAATTTCTAATGGGTCTTAAAAAGTATGGTAAAGGGGATTGGAGAAATATTTCACGCAATTTCGTGATGACCAGAACACCAACTCAGGTGGCAAGCCATGCTCAAAAATACTTCATCAGACAGCTGACAGGTGGGAAGGATAAGAAGAGGACCAGTATCCATGATATCACCACAGTTAACATCCCTGATACACCCTCTTCTTCACTAGATAATGGCAAGCCTTTGTCTTCAAACAATTCTTCTGCAGTCATACAGTCACAGCAGCAATCAAAAGAGCCCGGGGTAACAACTAAAGGGCCCTTTGATTTTGAGTGGAAGCAACATAATGAAGGAGCTGCAGCTATGATTTTCTACCAGACGAGTAGTGGCAATGCCTTACCGTCTCCTTTGTGTGGGATTTCTTCACATGTAACCAAGCTAGAGGAACAATATTTGCTAAAAGGAACTCTTCCGAGATCTCAGTTTGGATCTTATAATACCTCTTTCCAGATGCAGTCAATGCAACATCAGTAAATACAACGGAGAAGCAGGAAGAGTTCTCTGAAGGTATTATTATAAATTAATGATATGAAGATCCGGCCAAACAGTGGTTCAGCTAGCATTTTTCATGCCATATGTGTATATCTTGAAGATGCAAATTAGTCCATAGTTATCACTCTAAAGAGTGGTCCGGTAGCTGGTAGGTGGTTTTTGTGATTTGTCATTCAAATGCTGGACCACTTAACCAAAAAACTTTTGGGGCTTTTACTAACTCTAGTCGTGTTGGCTGCCTGCATTATCTGCCTGTTGTCACTAGTTATTTTTAGACTGGTTTCAAGTGTGCTATAGATGCTGTCACGAGGGCCAGTGTCTCTGCAAAATGACAGACTGTACAACAAAGGCCTAAAATTTAATAATGGACTCCAATAATTCATGTTTCCTTGCTTCAACTGTGAATCTGTGATGTTTTTTCTCATTCACATCATATCATGGACAAAGTGAAAAATCAAAGGATATTTTAGCCATAAGTCTTTATCTTCTTGTGCATGCTTTTTAAGGATATGGTTAAATGGCTCTGCTTAATGCTGATGTCCTTTTCGCAAATTCAGGTTTACGTTAATGACAAACTCCTTATTGCCTAGAGAAAGAAGGGAAGTAAATGGTAGTTTAATTAGGTTACTGATCATGATAGGATTTTGACTGAAAGCCACTTATTCAAGCGTAGCATTCTCAGTTTTGTTCATTTTCCTTCATGTGATGAGACTGAGACGTCTTATTCTTTAATTTGTTCCATAGATTCCGTCATTCAAAACTGAATATTTTGCCAAAAACTCGAGATTCTTCAAAACCCTTTTTAACTTTTTACGGTTTTAGCTCGATCCTGCAGATGGAGGAAATCTAAATCTCTTTGCTGTTGTCCATTTAAACTCTGTCTGGGACATCTTTCTTCTTCTTTGAGGGATTGGAATTTTAATAGATAAGGGAGAGCATATGCGACCAACTTCTTACTTGTTTGTATGGACCTCAAAAGATTCTCTCAAAAATGGATTTAGTGTCCGGTAAAAGCAGTTGAAATTTGTGAGAATTCTCTCCCTGGTTAGGGCAGTGCATGAGTAATCCTGATGTGACCTGCAACCAATGTTATACGCTTACTGTTGCGATAAAATAATCACAAAGAGACTGGAATTCTAAGAAATTTAGAAATTTGCCTTTTTCTTGGTGAAAATGACAAAGAACTTGTGATAATGCTCCAAGTCGGGTAGAGATATGAACAGCAAAGCGGGAGTTTCATTCATTGAAATCCGCTTTCATGCAAAAATAATTGTTTCGTTACAGCTCGGGTAAAAACAAAATCGATTGGAGTTTTCATTTATACCATTAGTAATAATGTATGCAAGATGCTGTTGGCATGATGTGGCTCCATTCTTTTGTTGTTTGGTTGCTGTCATTGAATTGTTGTTGTTGCTCCAGCAAACGTTCAAGAAAAGCTCGGTGCCCACCATCCTGGTTGCATAATGTACGTACAATTTTCAGGTCCCACCTACTACTGCTATACACACAATTTAAGACAATATATATAGTACCCCACACCTCCCCCTCCCCCCATTAATGACAACTGTCCACTTCCTTTTTCTGCATGTTGCATATGAAACTGAAAACCACTTTGGTTCATTGTTCCTTATTCTGATTCTTGATTTCCTCCATGAGGATTCTACCAGAAGCTGCAATTCTTAATGATCGTCATTTGCATTTTCGCTCTCAACATTAAGCATTGATATGCTATGCTATGTAATTGACCACAATATCCCTTGTTATATCCAGATGCAACAAAAAACATACATCCGTAACCACAATTTAAATCATTCCTCCGAATGCTTTTAATTGAACGCCCGTCAAATATTATTGGAATTCGGAAGTTTGTAAGAATAAAATGAAAACACGCTGTTAGGTATCTCCTCTCCCTCTCTCTTTTGGCTCATCATTGTAGGACCAAAGGTAGCATAGAGGAATCCTATGGCTGCCATTGATACCAATGATACATCAGAAAAGAAGACAGAAAGTGGAACCTTTTTGAAGAAACAATCCACCCCAACCAATATGGAAACAAGAAAAAGAGAGGAGTTTATTGGGAATTTTTATGTCCAAGAAGGTGATACAGGTTTCACGCCTATACTCGGGAAACATATCTTAGATGAAGGAACATAGCAGGTTGCATCAGCTTTGACAATTTGGTCGTTGAGAAAATTCAATATATCACTTGATGGAAGCATGGCTTGTAGATGTAGGAAATATTACTCTACGCATAGGGTGATTGAGGAAATGAAATCGTTATCTCGCAACAAACTAACTACGGTCATACATAGGAGTCAAATATTCCAATCAATAGTTTACTTAGGATAGAATGTGGCCATTCTTTCCTTTATTAATAGTGGATCAATACATTCAGAACGAGAAGACCGGTGACAGATAAAAGGAACCACCACTACATAGGCACCATCCTAATTCCTAGCCTTGACCCTTTATTTACTATCTACATCCAGAAAAAAATATATATGTATCACAGGAGAAGAAAGGGGAAAACATCATCATAGACTAGTAGTTCACTTATCAAGCACTGTTTCCATGACCAATCACTTATTTGGACTTGAAAGGAATGGCCCTGATTATTGTTTTGTGGTATACAGCTGCCAAATAAAAGGTCCTACCCAGAATATCCATTGCAACCAAAGAGGATTTTGCATTAGAGAACCTTTACAATCAACCTTTTTTTTCATAGCTAAAATATAATGATCTGGTTGTTAAACTGGTAAAACTACAAGAAAAGATGGCAACTTGGGAAGACTTGCATGGTCATCTCATGCTTGTGTCACGACGGAAGGAGAGTTAGGGTTTGAAGGTCTTAATTTGGGGAAAATCGAATAAGGAAATTGGGGAATCAGCAGTAGAAAGGGGGAGAGGAGAGAAAGGAATTAGGGATTGAAGGGGGATTAGGGATTGAAGGGTTATCTGAAGAGGGAAAGGCTGAAATAATACAGGAGATGTGTCACACGGGATTGGGTATGGGTCAATAGAGTAACTGGGCTTTAATACTTAGACCCAATTAATATATCAATAGGCTTATGAGTTAAAGGGTTGATATGTATGAATCTAAATCAGAAGTGAGAAGGGTGGATGGGTGAGTCATCATTTTAGACGATTATTTTGTTAGATTGCCGAATTGCCAGCTGGAGGTACTGTAGATATATAATTGTACCCAGAATCTTTGAGGATTATCTTATGAAATGAAAATGCATGTTTTTGTAACCTATTCTCTCTATTTTCTTAAATCCCTAAAAAATTCTTCTATCATTCTATCCTAAATCATAACAAATTGGTAATCAGAGCTGAGTTCGGTGATTCAAACCATTTTTCACGCTGAGAAAGACAAGAAAGATGCAAAAGACTGGAACTATTGAGGTATCAGAACAAGCAGTAGAAGTGAAGGATACAGACCTTGGAGGAAGAAATGACCGAGAACAGGGGTTATTTGCAGAGAATCATACAGTTGGTCAATCAAGCAGCTGAGGAAAAAGACTCACCTCAGTCAGCAAGGAGTCATCTACCAGCAGCTGAAAAGCAAAACAGAGGTGAAGGTAAACAACCATGTCTAGTTACGGTTCTTAGTGAGCATGAGAAGTATACTTTTAGACCTAACGAACCGGGGATATTAGCTGATAAACCTGCGGGGTCTACTGGTCATCTACATTTTAATCAGAAATTGCAAGAAGAAAATATGATGGGCAGTTCTAGTGAGGTTAAAGTAGACAATAAGGGTTTATTTGGGAGTTCAGGGATTATGTTACCTCGACCTAAATTAGAACTACAGATGTTTGATGGTAGTAATCCCAGAGGATGGGTGAGAAAATGCCAAAAATACTTTAACCTTTTGGGAGTCTCCAAGGAACAAAAATTAGATGTGGCTGCAATGTATTTGATGGGAAAGGCTGAGACATGGTTTGATGGCTATATTATGAAGAAGCATAGAGTGACTTGGCATGAATTTGAGGATGATTTGTGTCATAGATTTTGTGATAGAAACTATTCAGATATCATTGAAGAATTTAATAAGTTAATGCAGAAGGGTAGTGTAGAAGAATATCAAGAAAAGTTTGAAGAGTTAAGACCCTATTTACTACAACATCATATGCATTAAGGGGAAGATTATTTTGTTTCCAGTTTCATTAGTGGTCTGAAGGAGGAATTGAAACATAAGGTGAAAGTGTTGGAGCCCAGAAATATCTCTGAGGCTTACAGGCAGGCCAAACTTTATGAGTTGGCTAATGAGATGGAAGGAAAGAAGTATAAATATTCTCAAAAACAATTTCCTTATACTTCTTCAAGTGGTCAACAGAACAGTGGGACTAAAAGTTTACAGCCTAAGACAACTCTTCTAAATTCATATACAAGGCAGAGTTTACTGGAATATAGAAGAGCAAATAATCTGTGTTTTAAATGTGGGGAAAAATTTGCTCCTGGACATCAGTGCAAAGTTAGACAGTTGAACAGTATGGAAGAGGAAGAAGATTCTGCTGATCAAGAATTAATAGAAGGAGAAAATGGAGAAGGGAATGATATAGCTAAAGAAGCATTGGAAATTTCTATCAATGCTATTACAGGTAATGTGGGACACACTACCTTGAGAATTCAGGGTTTTATCAGAGAAAAACCACTTAATGTGCTAATTGATAGTGGAAGCACACATAGTTTTGTGACTCCTAGGTGGGCCAAAGAAGGAGTGGAACTTGTTCAGACTCAACCATTAGTTATTACAGTACCTAATGGGGAGAAACTATTTAGTACTGCCAAAAGCAATCAAGTGAGTTGGAAGATGCAAGGCTATGAATTTTAGTATGATTTCAGAGTTTTATCTTTAGGGGGCAGTGATATGGTACTGGGAGTGGACTAGATGGAAGAGTTTAGCCCTATAATGATGGATTTCAAGGCCAAGACAATTAGTTTTGAAAAGGATGGAAATACTGTTATGATTAGAGGAACTCAGAAATTGTTAACCATCAAACCCATCTCAGGTGAAAAATTACAGAAGTTAGTGGATAAGGATACTGAAGTAAATGGAGAAATCTATTTGTTGAATGCTGAAGTAGAGGAAAGTAAAATTCCTCTACCCTTACAAGATTTATTAGAAGAGTTCCAGGAAGTGTTTGAGGAACCTAAGGGGATGCCTCCTAGCAGAAGACATGATCATGCCATTGTTCTGAAACAGAGGACACAACCAGTCAATCTAAGACCCTATAGATTTGCTCATCATCACAAGACTGAAGTTGAAAAACATATTACTCAAATGTTAGTCTCATCTATCATACAAGTAAGTAAGAGTCCTTTTGCTTCTCCTTGTTTACTTATTAGAAAAAAGATGGAACTTGGAGGTTTTGTGTGGACTATAGGCAGCTTAACTTTTAT